TCTGCATCTTGTACAGCAATTAACCACTAAGAAAAAAATATACAGTGTATTATTTGTTGAAACTGTACTTTCGATTTGATTTGAAACTGTCTCAGTGCTATATGTTTATCAATAAAACTTTGAAAAGAAAAAAAAAAGAAACACACGGAAGGTTTATATCATATTTTTGGTCACCCATTAACTTTTAGAAACTAACTATATTACTATATGCAATTATATATTTCTGAAGAAGAACCATTTTAGTGTTAACCTTTTATTAGAAGTAGTGAAAAGATAAGAAAGAAAAAAAAACAGTTGCCTAGAGTATCATAAAACAAGTATTCAGATTTCGACTCCTTAAAATCAAGAGTTCAAGGGCTGGCAATATAGCTCAGCAGAGATAGCTCACCGCCTGCTTAGGCAAGTGCAGGGACAGGGGTTCGATCCCTAACATCACATGCCATGCCGTCCCTGTTCCCAGGGCACGATGAGCCAGTGACAGAGTCTAGGCATGGTGTCGCACACCTGTAATCCCAGTGCTGGGGAGGCTGAAAATAAGAGGTCCACTATGAGTCTGAGCTGCATAGAGAGACCCTGTACCAAATATATTTAAAACAAAAACAAAAAAACAAGAGTTGGACAAAATTTGTCATTGTAGTTAGTGCTAATGATGAAATGAAGCAGAAGCAAAAGAATATGTATGGAAGAAACAAAAATGGATGTTGGGCAATGGACTTGGGGAGATTGTGTTTTATTTTTCTGTGGGTGAAATAATACAAATATATAAATGCCCTTCCATGTCCTTATAGCATGCAAAATTGCATTCCAAGGAAAATTTATTTTATGAAATACTGCACACCTTCCCTTTGGCTGAGTATGAAAATGAACATTTTGTTGTGTTAATATCTACTCAGGTTGGGCATGCTGATGCGTACTTGTTTATCCCAGTACTCAAGAGGCTGAGGCAGGAGAATCACTGAGTTTGAGCCCAGCTAGGGCTACAAAGTGAGTTCAAGGCCATCATGAACTGCACAGTGAAACCCTAAAAGAGACAAAAAGAAAATTTTTAATATATTTACTCAGTGAAAGTTCTTATTTTTTATGCAATGATGCCATTGGGCATGCTGTGAGGGTTTTAATAATAATTGAAGTACTTCCCCAAAGTAAATAGGCTACAACTTACTAATATCTTAAAGCATGGAACATTATAGTTTTAGGAGATAGCTAAAAGTCATCTTGTTCAGTCACCAGTAATTATTTTCAAATCGTCCAGGAAAATGTCCAGTTGCACTCTTGTATAGGTCATTGTACTCACTCACATTTGTCAGACCAATTCTGTTAGATTCTTTTTTTTCAGGCTGGTGAGTTAGCTCAGCAGACCAAGCATCTGCTTAGGCAAGCTCAGGAACCCAGGTTTCATCCCTGGCACCACATGCCTTTCTGGCCCCACCCCTGTGAGTGATGAGCTGGTCACCAAGACCAGGCGTGGTGGTGCATTTCTGTAATCCCAGTGCTGAGGAGGCTGAAAACAGGAACATCACTTCAAGTCCAAGCTGTATAGTGAAAGCCTGTACCAAACAAATACAAACAAATAAATAAATATTCTTTTTTTCCTGTGGCTTATTTTGTGAAAATTTTCCTAAAATCAAGACTCACATTTATGCCATTCATTCCCTTATCCAAACTTCGCATCCACAATTAGAGGACCCAAAGTTAGAAAGTT